AAGGTAATGAATGGAGAACCAGAGATCCTGAGTGTGTGAGTGGACAGAAGTGAGAGAAAGAGTGGATGAGTGACATTGTCCTGACCAGCTGCCTCTGTGTTAGCAGGTGTCCAGTGTGAGGTGCAGCTGGTGGAGTCTGGGGGAGGCCTGGTGCAATCTGGTGCACCTGACCCTGCAGCTCTGCACAGGAGCCCAACCCTGAGACTCTCCTGTGCAGCCTCTGGATTCACCTTCAGTGATTACTACATGCACTGGGTCCACCAGGCTCCAGGGAAGGGGCTGGAGTGGGTCTCATACATTAGTGGTGGTAGCAGTGACATAAACTATGCCAACTCCGTGAAGGGCCAATTCACCATCTCCAGAGACAACTCCAAGAACACACTGTACCTGCAAATGAGCAGTCTGAGAGTCGAGGACACTGCCACCTATTACTGTGCCAGAGACAAAGTGAGGGGACCTCAGTGTGAGGCCTGACACAAACCTCCCTGCAGGGTACCCAGGGCAAGCAGGGGGCGCTCAGTACACAGGGAGCTCAGGTCAGCCAGGAGCAGGTGCAGAGGGAGGAGGGAGCAGCTCAGCTCAGGCCAGTGGTCCCTGCCCACCCAGCACCCCCTGACTCCAGCTTGCCTGCAGATTCTCGAGGTCCCTCCTCTGCCAGACCCTCTGTGAGGTGATTCTTCTCTAGGTCTTGCTTGTCTGGAATTCTCTCAACACAGACCAGGCAATTTTGCAGATGAAGAGTACATTTCAGGGACGTTTCCTGAACAGCGACTTTAAGTGAACTGTATGGATTTTTCATTTCCTTATTGGGGATTGAATCCAGGGTGCTCCACCCTTGACGTCCATTCTAGGTTTTATGTGTCTTATTTGGAGACAGGTTCTCCCAAAGATCCCCAGGCTGATCTTGAAGTTATGATTCTCCTCCCTCAGCCCGAAATGTCCCTGGGTCTACAGGTGAGCTCCCCACACCTGCTGAACTTTACAAACTCCTGACACCATGTCTCACTCTCTGCCTGTTCAGGTGTTTCCCAGTCCCCTTTCCATGAATCCTTCCCTTTCCCCCTCCACCCAGTGACCTTCCTGTGCTGGATCAGGTCACAGAACAAAGTTCTCACTGGAGCCCACCTACTGCCAGAACTTTCCACCCCTGGGGACCATTTGCAATGTCTGGAGGGAGTTGTTTTCACCTGTGAAGGAGGGATTTTCCTGGCTTCTAGTTTTTATTGACCAATGAGGCTGCCACACCTCCAACCATCACAGGACATCACCCACAGTGATGAATAAACTGACAAAATATTTATGGACTAAACAGAAAAAGGGTGACAGAAAACCTAAACTTTATTGAAATGAGCAGAAATGTGTGTATTCAGAATGAACCTTGATGTTTGTGAGCTGTCTGTCCCTCATGATGAGGCTCTGTGACACCCACACCTCAAACCCAGGGCTCCATATGGTGGACACACCCACTCCTCACGCAGCTGTGCAGGGCCTGTGGACAGGGGTGACGTAAGCAAGGTCTTCAAGAGAAAGGGGCACCCTGGGCAAGGACCCAGTGGGAAGGATGGTGAGCTATTCAGGTCAGCTCTGCCACTGGCCTCAGAACCCTGAAGACATGCTGTGCCCAGAACCACACTGACCCCATCTCACTATGAGCTGATCCTGATCCTGGGAAGCCCCAGGAAACCTGGCTGCTGGGGAGAGGCAGCGTAGAGCCTGCGTGGGTTTCCAGCCACTGTGGCTGCATTGCAGGGTCACAGACAGGGACACCTGGGCTCTGTCCCTGCTCACATCAGTGCCCACCCTGTCCTGAGGGTCTGGCTCCTGTCTGGGTGAGGATGAGCAGTGGCAATGTTTACATCCCAGATGGTCCTAAGAACACAGCAGCTACCATCAGTACCCTTTGATTTCAGCACTGACACCATCAGTCAGCACACTGGTGTTTTACTTTTCATTTTAATACACTTTTAGCTGTAGGTGGGCACAATGCCTTATTTTACTGGTTTATTTCCGGGTGCTGAGGATCAGACCAGGCCTCCCACAAGGGCTCTGTACTGGGCCTCAACCCAGCCCCACACACTCATACTGCTGTTGTGATACATTGGTTTTTCTTGACACTCCCGGGGTCTCTTCCTGATGACTCCCAGTGCCAATGGTCACACAGGACAGTGGGGCTCCTCTGACATGGTCACAGCAGGTGGGACATGGTGGCTGCACTGTTTCCCCAGTGCTTCCTCCTTCCTCCACGCTCCCCTCCCCCGCCTCTCCCCCTTCTCTCCTAGTTTTCTGGTATTTATTTATTTATCTTCTCTATTTAGTGCCACTCAGCTTCTGAGTTGGTCCACACACAGCTGGATCCCCTTGTCTGACCACCTGTCCCGGAGGGTGGGGAACTGCCTTTCTCCTTCACAGTGGCTCTGCTGCACCAGGTGAGACTGTGGGTCTGCGAGGGCAACTGACCACCACCTGCACCTGTGTCCTGTGTAGAGATGTGGCTTGAACCCCCTCCTTCTGGGAGTCCCTGTCCCTGTGCTGTGCTTTGGGGCAGAGTGCTGGGACATCACTCCCTCCAATCCCCCTGAGACCCAGTCCCCAGCCCTGTCCATCACACTCTGTCTCCCACAGGTCAGTCTGTCCATTCAGATGGAAGTGCCCGTTGATCTTATCCACATGTAGACCTAGAGCCAGGACCCAGTGTCTCTCCTCCTCCCAGAAAGGGGCTAGGGCTGGGCTCCAAAGACCCAGTGAAGAGTGCACCTAAGTGGCTGTCCAGTCTTGGACACTCAAAAGCACGTCCTCCTGTGCAGGAGAAATAATAAGAAGGGGAGAGTGGAGGGGATTCTGAAGTGAAGTGTAGTGAGCAGAGGTGCCCTGGAGGGTGTCCACGCCTGGCCACTGAGTCCCTTCAACTCCAGCCCCTCCCAGCTCTGGCAACTCTGCTGGGAAGGTCAAGTACTGCATGGGGGTTGCAGGCCCTCTCCAGCCAGGGACCCTGGGCTTTCCCTGGTAAGCACAGCCCAGCTCCCCTGAGGTCAATGTCTGCTGGGCTGAGGTCTGTTACTGACCCTGCTTCTCCAGGCCTGGGGGGAATTGTCCCTCCTCCTCTGAGGGAGGGCTTGTCCTCCCCGTGGTCCGTTCACCCAGACCAGCTGCAGTCTGTCTCCTGAGCCAACCCTTCTTTACTCTGGGAGCCAGTGCTTTCAGCTTTCTCTGAACATCAGCTCACGAGGTGCCACCTGCCTTTCCTGTGGCCCTGCCTCAGTTCCTGCTGCTCAACTGCTGAGCTCCTTCTCTCCTGGGACCTGCTGCAGCACCTTGGGATCCCCTCAGCTGCCTTCTCCATTCCTGCTACCTCATTTTCAAGTCCAACTTATTTTCTGGGAAAGACTTAGTTCCCTGTTCTCTGTGTTTGCATTTTACAGAGGAGCTTTCCGTATGATTAACTGATGAAGTTCTCATCAAGTGCTTCACACTAAAACATGGTGATTGACACCTACATAAGAAGGCCCTGGGAATCCCAAATGTGTGCAGACCCCTCCCTTTGCTTTACATGTGCAAGGAGAATTCACAGCCTCCATGGATTAGTGCAACTGTGCAAAGGTAACATGAAGTCTAAATACCAGTTTAGATTTCTAATGCAATAGTGCCCAACCCTGGGTGCAGTAGTTCCTGATGCCACAGATTCGGGATTTGAAATTTCCATTCTGGCTCAGTGTGGTGAGGAGAATGTAATACTGATTCAATAGCTCACATATGAATGATGGGTGAATTTGCTGATGCTCTTGGCACCCACACCCTGGGGAGGCTTGAGGCCCGGAGTGTACTGCACAGCGAGCTGAGGTCACCCACTCCTCTCTCAGCTTTCTTCCTGCCCTTCAGGGGCAATTTAGTGTACGAATTCCACATTTTTTTATGCGTGGGCAAGTTGGCACTTACATTAGACCCAGGGATGTTGGTATAGTGCCCTTTGTCCTTCCTCAGTGTTAGAAGGAGGGAAGATTCTAAGAGGGTAAGTATGTGAGTAAAGGTGATTTTCTGGCATTGCATGTTGGCCATGAGCTCAGGGTGAATGAATCACAAATTTGAAGTTACAGAAAGAGGCAGAGAAATCAGCTGATCTGAGCCTAAGGGTGCTCTGGGAACTAGTCACTGACCCTAACTGGGCATGTGACCCTGGTGACATCTGGACTGACCAGATTATTGGGTTCCTCCAGTGAAAATACAGAAGTGCCACCAACGGTGTCTCTGGGAGTTGAGGCTGAAGTGTGCACGGCCAGGCTGCTCAGGGTGAGGAGATGAGAAACCTTCCCTGGATGGAGCTGCTGGTCTCACACATGACAGAAGGTGAGGCAGGTGCAAAGCCTGAGCCTGGGGGTTGAGCACCTTCTGGGGACAGGAAGAATGTGGCAGGATTTTCTCTAATTTCTTGCAAGTGCTGCATAGGAGGTGGTAGGTGATGGAGCAGGTTGTGAGTTTACATGGAACTGACTAATTTGCAAGGACCCCTATGACCCAAGGTGTGGTTTCATGGATGAACATGTGACCAGAGGCCAGCAGGAAACAGCCCTGTGTGTCCCTGGGGGCAGCAGGTTAGCACCCAGTAACAGAATGTCTGCAGTGGCCTTGAGGATTGGAAGTCCCCACATAAGGGGGTGGGCTGCACAGTGTTGTGGGTGTTAAGAGGCAGAAAGCATCTTTCTTCCCTTCATTTTACCATGAAATACACACAGAAGTTTATTGATCTCTCTCAGAACTCATGTGTCCCCATCCTGCTGATGGACACCTCAGTGGTTTTCTCTGAAGGACACTTTCCTGGTGTCTGGGTGGACAGCTCAGGACGCATCCTCTCCTGCACACATCTGTGGATTCACTAGTCAGGTGGACAGGCCACATCAGAGAGTGGAGGGAGGGGAGTGTGCACAGAGCAGGCAGCTCTGTCCTCCTGAGGCCCCTGACTCTCCTCTCTGCTGTGTCATCCCAGGGCTTGTTCTGACCCCAACTCTCAGCAAGGTGAGGCACCTGAGCTGTGCTTGAGAAACCTTAGTACTCACTGGTCCAGGAAGTGATGGACAAGGTTCTCAGCTCTGCCACCTGGTTCCATCATTGGGAGGAGCAATCTCGACC